CGTCTCCCACACATCTCGGTACACATTACGCCTAGCTGATTACGCTTAATACAAGGGCACCCCACCCCCCCTTGCCCTAAGCGGCAACCATCTCAATGCGGCAGCGTGTAAATATACCACAAAAGACACAGTTCACAAAGATATCGTTAGATTTCTCAATGCTAGGCCAAAGCACTCTCACGTTCCATGTTTTATGGTAATGCTCAACATAATGTCGGATATATGAATTATGTAAGAGAGAGATATATCTCTGTAACCCATGTGCACGCTCTATGGCTTCAGCCAGCCAATTTGCTAATTCGTTACTAATAACAGCACTAATTAAGCACAGACGCATTCATTACACATGCTTACTTGACGCCTAGTTTGGGCAGCGTACAACTTGGAGTTATTATGTCACTTGTCTAACCAAGGGCAGCCCCATTGAGTCTCCCGATTTCCTTTGCAGGAGGGTCCTGGCAAGCTTTTGGCCGGACAGTGGCGACGATTGCTCGTCGCTTTGTAATCTATTTTCAAATTGGGCAAATTTGGACCATGACATTGGTACACAATGGCCGAACTCATTGCGAATGCCATCGTGAGATCTTTATAAAGCCTACCGTGAAGCAGAACGGCACGCGCATACATGTATATATATTTTATGGTGAATATACAGGGCGGCCGCTAGATGCAAACCTTTGCAAATAGTGGCGAATGCACTCCCGCTAAGCTATGCCCACCGCCCAGGTTTGCACCGCTCACGTCGCGTTTAGCTTCGGCGCATACCAGCGGCTGCCACAAGTAAATTGCGGCGTGGACATTCGCGCAGCAGCGGCATGAGGGCTGATCGAATAGTCGGTGGCCTGAAGCGGAAGGAATTGTTTGCGTCTCCGTCCCGATGGAATGTGGGCCACAAAAGTGTTTGATACATTTTCCAATGTTCATCATCATCAGCAGCAGCAGTGATTGGATATGAATTGCTGAATGCTTTGCCATCGTCATCGTCAGCCAATTTGTATCCACTGCTGGATGAAGGTTTCCCCACGCCATTGCCACTCCTTGCAATAATAATTACAAGTATAGCGAATGTCAATTTGTTTAACATTCGGTTATCATTGCTTTGTGACCACCTGTCATACCAACGGATAACTTGTGACGTTCTAATCCTTAAATACATTTGTATACTTATATATTTATATATATATTTTACTGGTAACTTTTAATCTTATTTTTGAAAAATATTTTTGTACCAATTTAATTATTTCTTTTCTCAAGAGCCATCATTCAAAAGGTCATCCCACCTCGGACAAGAAAGCAGAAGTCAAATGTCCCACCCTCGGGTGGGACATTTGCCTTCTGGACGACCCGGCCAGCTCTTGGTAGCTCCTGATGATTGTGAGAATACGGAGACAACGTTTTTATACAGACTGTTCTCGAAATAACGTGCAGAGATTTGTAACAAAACAAACAAAAAATATCCATGATATGGCAGCACAGCAAGTCTGTTTGTGACCCCCGTGTATCCATGGCACGCTGGTTGTTGTTCCCTCATAGCGCAATGCGAGTTCTCTCCGGGAACTCGCGAGTTCTCTCCGGGAACTCGCGAGTTCTCTCCGGGAACTCGCGAGTTCTCTCCGGGAACTCGCGAGTTCTCTCCGGGAACTCGCGAGTTCTCTCCGGGAACTTGCGAGTTCTCTCCGGGAACTCGCGTTTCCACGTGAAGCCAAACTCTAAACCTCCAAATGCACGGTCGTCCTGAAAAAATGGAGCCTTGAGACTCGGCGGAGATTTCCTGGATTTAATCAATCTGAGTTTGTTACCTGAAGCTGGATGCACTATAAGAGGATGTGTCAATCCTCTGAGTGGACTGTAACTTATGGCCTCTTCCCAACTGTGGCTTTAGCCAAGTCCGTAGTGACTCACCAACAACGTTTCACCAATCCCTACCAGACAAGGACATATTAGGTAGCTTTCTAAGGTTGTATATATATTTATCCTAAAAGCTGTAAGGTTTACGAGTTTAATGCATTCCTATTTAATCAGATTGCAACCCAAAACAGCTCTTCTCTAGTAGATAATACGTGAATGGTGACGTTAACATCACTTTATGTTCCACTCGTCGTAGCGTGTGTCATCCCTGTTGTGATTCTTAACGGCGGTTTCCTTCCAGAGAAAGTCCAGTGTAACAAACAATACCGGCCGACAGCCCACACGACACATCACCGCATAAATAATGGGTTACACATATAATATTACATCACATGCATACTTCAGTTAATAACTTAAGACACACAAACCATGCTTTAGAAAATGCAGTGACTTGCACACAATAGCAAACCATTGGCCATGTTTCATTTAAATACTTAGTATATCCCTGCACATGTTTTAAAACGTAGTTCTTGGCCTGACAAGTTTCCTTCGTTGAAAAATGCGTTATAAGTCGTTTGTTTATATATTTTTTAATGAATATTTACATTATCTAAAGGTTATGGGTCAGATTTGAACACGGAGGTTCACAGTGGTATAAACACCGGGGACCTGCTTCACGTTTTGTTTGGATTTTAGGTGGAAATGCACCATTGGCAAATAAAACAGGGAATGCAATTTGTTTGGGCCCAAGGCCTTCTGTGGAAATGGTGGGAGCAGAAAACTGAGGCATGGAACACCTTGGCCAATCAGACACTGGCATAACCACACAATCCAACTGAACCCTAAACATAACCTCACTATCCAACCAGACTCTAACCATAACCACACTATCCAACTAAACCCTAAACATAACCTCACTATCCAACCAGACTCCAACCATAACCACACTATCCAACCAGACTCTAACCATAACCTCACTATCCAACCAGACGCTAACCATAACCGCAATATCCAACCAGACCATAACCATAACTACACTATCCAACCAGACCATAACCCTAATCACACAATCCAACCAGACCCTAAACATAACCGCACTATCCAACCAGACTCTAACCATAACCACACTATCCAACCAGACCCTAACCATAACCACACTATCCAACCAGACCCTAAACATAACTGCACTATCCAACCAGACTCTAACCATAACCACACTATCCAACCAGACCCTAACCATAACCACACTATCCAACCAGACCCTAACCATAACCACACTATCCAACCAGACCCTAACCATAACCACACTATCCAACCAGACCCTAACCATAACCACACTATCCAACCAGACCCTAAACCTAATCACACTATCCAACCAGACCCTAACCCTAATCACACTATCCAATCAGACCCTAAACCTAATCACACTATCCAACCAGACCCTAAACCTAATCACACTATCCAACCAAACCATAAACCTAACCACACTATCCAACCAGACCCTAACCATAACCACACTATCCAACCAGACCCTAAACCTAATCACACTATCCAACCAGACCCTAACCCTAATCACACTATCCAACCAGACCCTAAACCTAATCACACTATCCAACTAAACCATAAACCTAACCACACTATCCAACCAGACCCTAAACCTAATCACACTATCCAACCAGACCCTAACCCTAATCACACTATCCAACCAGACCATAACCATAACCACACTATCCAACCAGACCCTAACCATAACCACACTATCCAACCAGACCCTAACCAAAACCACACTATCCAACCAGACCCTAACCATAACCACACTATCCAACCAGACCCTAACCATAACCACACTATCCAACCAGACCCTAACCCTGATCACACTATCCAACCAGACCCTAACCATAACCACACTATCCAACCAGACCATAACCATAACCACACTATCCAACCAGACCCTAACCCTAATCACACTATCCAACCAGACCCTAACCATAACCACACTATCCAACCAGACCCTAACCCTAATCACACTATCCAACCAGACCCTAACCATAACCACACTATCCAACCAGACCCTAACCCTAATCACACTATCCAAACAGACCCTAACCATAACCACACTATCCAACCAGACCCTAACCATAACCACACTATCCAACCAGACCCTAAACCTAATCACACTATCCAACCAGACCCTAACCATAACCACACTATCCAACCAGACCCTAACCATAACCACACTATCCAACCAGACCCTAACCCTAACCACACTATCCAACCAGACCCTAACCCTAATCACACTATCCAACCAGACCCTAACCCTAATCACACTATCCAACCAGACTCTGGTTCTCCACCTAACCCAACCCGTGTCCCATCTCTGGCACATTGTACCACTCCTTTTTAAAGTTTTCAGTGTAGGTGGTCACAGAACAACTCACTAAACCCGCAACCGCATTGGTCGCAAGCCCTCAATCTCACTTTCCCAGGTAACCCACGACACGTACGAGACGATGCAATGCACGGGTGACTCCAGACAATTAGAGCCAGCTTCACACTCTGGGACGATTTCAGCCCGGAGATCACCGGTCACGTGTTGTGTTCACAAGTCGTAAATATCTACTATTTGTGATCTGGATGTTCAAATTTCGAAGAATATTGTCTCATGCTGCTCTGACTTGTTAGCGTACTTTTGAGGAAACTCTAATGAAGATTATCATGTTTATCAACGACGTCACAAAGTCACCAGTAAAGAAACTGATTAATGTTACAGATCAGTTGGCCTCTTCACTTCTTCCTCAGATGATGCGAATCATTACTTTGGTTCCCATATTCTTGATTCTTTCGGTAAGGTCACGTAGAGGGAAACAATAAAATAATAAAAATATAAAACAATAAAATTCTCAAGACGTTTCGACTGCAACACAAGCAATCATCATCAGGTGTGAAAACCACAGCAAGAAAATTTGAAAAAAGTGGCGGTTTTTTTCTTAACGTTAGCACCACGGACAGCTAACATTAAGAAAAAAACCGCCACTTTTTAAATTTTTCTTGCTGTGGTTTTCACACCTGATGATGATTGCTTGTGTTGCAGTCGAACCGTCGTGAGAATTTTATTGTTTTATATTTGTATTATTTTATTGTTTCCCTTCTACGTGACTTTACCGAAAGAATCAATAATATGAATCCCTGCAGTGACGAAAGCTTTAAATCAAAATTTGGTTCCCATGTTTGTTTTAATGAAAGCCTTCACTACATTAATGCTCCCGTTCTTAATGTTGCACGCACGTGCAATCGGCTGCATGCTACTGTCACAGCTACACTACAGTCCTCTAAACCTTGCATACCACAACTAATCCGGCACCAAATCAACCTGCTGAGCGCATTTACATCCCCAAACACTCTGAAGATTCATCAAACTCCATTGAGACAAACTTGCTTCATTAAATATTTGAATCATTTTTGGATTCCTCATATCCTGAAGAGCCGGTACACATCAGAGACACAACGCACATATTGATATCATGAACTTCTGGAACACATTTGGAACTCTAAGCACTCCGAAATCTCACTTCAGTTGGGTGGAGAATGTCTGAAACAGTGTGTGCGGTATGGCTGGCATGGACCCTGCTGCAAAAAAAATGAAATGCCCCTCCCCTTTGTAACCCAGGACTTGGGCCCCTCTGGATCGTTGTCCCCGGTGCAACTGCACCACCTGCACACTCAACAGGCACGCCACTCGTTACGATCCTTCAGACTCTGTAGATTCTCTACACTTCAGAGGGACTGACATGCCAGGGGTATTTTGGACGATTTATATGTGGGCCATCACTGGGGTTGCTGACGGGTGGATTGGCTGTGTTGTAGGTGCGTGATAGTAGGTTGGTTCGGTGATGAGTGTGGATAGGTGGATGAATGATGGGCGAGTAGTCGGTGAATGGCAAGTGCAGTGGTTAATAGGTGGGCGGTGTTCGTAATCGGTGGGGTGAGGTGGGTGATACTTGGGTGATTGATTGTGTGATGATGTAAGTGTAATATTTGGCTGTGGTTAGTGTTGGGTGCAATAGGGGTGATGGAGGATGGTTTTGGATGGGATGGGTGATGTTCAGGTGATGGGGGTAGGACAGTGTCAGTGACGTGATTGTTGGGTAGGATGGACAATGGGCGGAACTTGGTTCAGTGGATTACGAGTGGGTGGGATGGACGTTGGGTGGAGTGGCTCGCTTGTAGTTGAAATATCAAAGGGCCGGGTGGTCTGGTCGGATGACGAGCACGTGAGGCGGAGGTCGGAGGAGCTGGGCGCCGAGCTTAGTGAATGAAGGACGCGCGCTCGTTCGCGGCCACGCTCACGTGCGACGGCTGCAGCATGCGAGCGCGCAGGCTGGTGGCGAAGTCGAGCTGCATTCGTGAGAGAGCGCGGTTGATGAGCGACTTGGGCAGCCAGCCCTGCGCACACCGTCAGGTGACCAGACATGCCGCGCACGGGAAAAAAAAAAAACAGCAATGATTAAAATTACCCAGTGAGGTTCTTGCTACATTGGGAGTTTTGGGCGAGAGCATCAACAACGTGTTTATACTTGCGTGGGAGGAAATCGAAGAACCCAGAGTAAAACCCACCACGGGCACGGATAATCCATAATAGAGGTTTCTGGGTGATATCGCGTGAATATAACTGTGTATCGTTAAACCAGTTTCAGTTTCATTTATTTTGGTATAGCCCTGTGAGCCATACGGCTCTTGAATCGGGTGCAACCGCAACAAACAAAAAACAAAAACACGAACAAGAAAAACAACTTAAAGTGACTATGTGACTGTGCAAACAGAAAATCCATGAAAAAAACATCAAAATATTCCTGAAATAGCACCGTACACCAACGCTGTGTGCAAAAATCCCAGTGGGATGCAAGTCAAACAACAACAACAACAACAACCACAAGACAACTTAGATTAAGGCCATCAGTCTAACTCCGTACTACAACAAACAAACATGTCCAAACCAAAAAACGTTTTCGACATCACCAAAATAAAACCATAAAATCAATGTAACAGTGATCATAGGAACTGTGACCGAATTTTTTACAATAAACGACATAAATAACATGTAACACCAAATCCTAGAGCCATAGCTGGCCGCATGAGTCACTCCACAACAACAGGAGCATCAGTCGGAGTATCAACATTTTTCAATGCACCTATAAGATCAGCACGCTAAATCAAATCAAACCCGCCACCAACCGACACAACTAATTAGTAAGGGTTATCACGTAAACAAAACAGCACACCCGCGTGTTGGAGAGTAAACCCACATTTACGCGCTCTAACCCGACAATCTCTTATGGGTAATGTTGGTCGCGAAGGCGTCGCGACTTCGTGTCAAAGTGACGGGCACAGACAACTGAGGGTTTGGCTGTGTGTAGTGGAATGCCGGCCGAGTCCACGAGGGGGCAGCACGCCACAGCTGGGGTGGAGTGGCACCGTGCAGCTGCGAGCAAGAGGGGAACATGCACAATACATGTTTTTTTGGGGGGTTAGATCGCGTAAATATTTGGATGTGTCGTTAAACCCGCCACCACCCGACACAGCCAACTAGGAAGGTTCGTCACGTAAACGGAACATGCCAATTCGTCACGAGTACAGCACACCGGTGTGTTGGAGAGCCATGTTTACATTTACAAGCCACAACATTTACAGTCAGTTTAACACGTAGGCTTTCGCGACCAATATTATTCATAATAAAGGTTTTTGGGTTAGATCGCGTTTATTTATAAATGTGTCGTAACCCTCCACCACCCGACACGGCCAATCAGCAAAAAAAGTGTCACGTTGACAAAAGACAATTCACTACTTTAGCCCACCGGTGTGTTGAAGAGTTAACTCTTCAACACTTTTCAACACTTTTCAACACTTTTCAACACTTTCAACACTTTTCAACACTTTTTTTGCTGATTGGCCGTGTCGGGTGGTGGAGGGTTACGACACATTTATAAATAAACGCGATCTAACCCAAAAACCTTTATTATGAATAACATTTACAATGTTTACAATGTTGTGGCTTGGCTCTCCAACACACCGGTGTGCTGTATTAGTGACGAATTGGCCACGTTCTGTCTAAGTGACAACCCTTACTAGTTGGCTGTGTCGTGTGTTGGCGGGTTTAACGACACATTTATATATTTACGCGATGTAACTCCAAAAAACCTCTATTATGAATGCGATTTGTCGCGAAAGCCCCCTACTGCGTGTTAAAGACGGGACATGGTTCGTCTCCCTTCTGCTTTTCAACCCTCTCGTTTTTTTTTACCCGTTACATTGCGGTGAATGCAGAGGCCTCTCGTGGCTGCAAGGGGGGTGGGGGAGGCATCACGTGACACAGTGACATGTACGGCCCTAAGTGAAGAATAGCTTTTACCCTTTCTGGCAATAAAACAGTTGTGTTAAGATGCTAAAACATCAAATTGAAACATTTTTCAAGGAATCATGTCTGCATTAACCACACACAGTACTTGTGGTGAATATGCAAAAAAAAGCACGCTCTGGTACAATACGATGCATTGTCTTCGAATTGTATTAAATAGGTAAAACCTATTCTTAGCTCTTTCGGTAAAGTCACGTTGAAGGGAAACAAAAAAATAATAAAATATATATAAAACAATAAAAATTCTCACGACGTTTCGACCATAACACAAACGGTCGTCATCACACCTGATGAAATCAAAATTTAGGTTAAACCTCTTCTTATATTATATTCTTGGTTCTTTCGGTAAAGTCACGTAGAAGGGAAACAATAAAAAAAAAATTCTCACTCTTCTTATATTGTGATACTGGCAAGGGAGATCCCATGAAGTGGCCCTGTGTCAATTCACTGCTGGACGAGGGCCTCCCCAGACTGCGTCGTGGGGGTTATTTGACCATACTTCACCCTGCTGGTCAATGAAATTTTGCCGCACTGTCCTCTGCTGCCCACCACATACCTCCGTGTGCCTATACCACCTGTTATGCATGACGCTCGCCATCCAAGCACTGTCCACGCTGAGCTCCATGCTCAGCTTGCAAGATGTGACGAGATTGAGCGAGCGCCTTCCGGGCGACTTGATCCGCGTGTTGGAGCTCCACGGTCAATTCCGATCGGTGAAATTGACGCATCTGGCTGTCAGCACATTACGCTGTGATCCTGGCCACCCCAGTTTGAGTCCTGCCCGTGGTGCAAAACACTTGTGGCGAATGGGGTCTTAATGTGCAGGGCACACTACCTCACCGGGTCGACTTAGCCCAAAATGTGCACTTTCGTGCGATGTAGTGTGGTCACCATGGAGTCATATTGACGACGGAGAGACAGGGATATCGGGGCACGCGTGAAAGCTGCTTCCACACCCGCCGTAGGAGTTGGCTGGCCTTGATAGGCATTCGCAATCAGTAATGTGGCTTGTGCGTTTTTTTTAGAAAGGAGGGTGGGGATGACTTCTCAGAAGCTAAGCCGTGCATAACAGGTGTTACAGGCCTGCAGCGCTATGCGGTGTACAGCAGAGGGCAGTGGCGGCAAATGTATTAATAATGAAGGTTTTTGTGTTAGATCGCGTAAGTATAAATGTTGTGTCGTAACCCTCCACCACCCAACACAGCCAATCAGTAAGGGATTTGTCACGTTAAATAGTTGACTGTGTTGGGTGGTGGAGGGTTACGACACATTTATACTTACGCGATCTGACCCAAAAACCTTCACTGTGACTAATATTGGTCGCGAAAGCCTACGTGGCAAACTGGAAAATCTATTGTTGTACTGTACTCGGCTCCAACGTCTATGCTCTCTGCCTTCATCCCACCCTGACCGGCGTGGTGAAGTACGGTCAAATAGCTCCAATGAGTTGCACGGCATGGTAATCTACCTTCTTCCACACGTGGATTGACGGCAGGAGCAGAGGGAGCCGACACTGACTTGCTCACACATCATGCACTGACTCGCTCATCATGCGCTTACTCACTCACCCATCATGCACTGACTCGCTCATCATGCGCTTACTCACTCACACATCATGCACTGACTCACATCATGCACTGACTCGCTCATCATGCGCTTACTCACTCACACATCATACACTCGCACAACCACTGACCCATTCACTCATCATACACAGGTTCACTCATCGTGTGCTGGCTCACTCGCACATCATACACTCACTCACACTGCCGCTGACTCGCTCACACATCATACACTGACTCACTCATCATGCGCTGACTAACACATCGTGCGCTGACTCACACATCATACACTGACTCACGCTGCTGCTGACTCACTCACTCATCATACACTGACTCACTCACACATCATACACTCACTCACGCTGCTGCTGACTCACTCACACATCATACACTGGGAGTGTCGTGCTGCTAGCTATGGCTGCAGGTTTTGTCGTACGTATTATGTATATTGTTTATTGTTAAATTTAAAATCACAGTTCCTATGATTACTGTTGTTACATTGTTTTTGTAGCTTTATTTTGGTGATTCGAAACATATGGTTAATCTAAATTGTCTTATGGTTGTTGTTGTTGGCTTGCACCACATTGTGATTTTTGCACACAGCGTTTTAATAATTTTTTCGTGTGGAATATTTGCTGGTTTATTCCAGGATGTTTCTGTTACGCGTTGTCGCTTTAAGATGTTTCTGTGTTCAAATTTTGTTTGTTGCGGTTGCACCCGACTTAAGAGCCGCATGGCTCACAGGGCTATACCTAATAAATGAAAACTTGAAACTTGACACAAGGTGCTGCACGTGTACGTGCACTCACCTTCAGGTCGATGTTGAGAAGCCAAATGATGTGTGTCTTGCTGGGGTCCTTGGCTGAGGGTCTCAGCATGATGAGTGAAGGCCCTGTCTCGCCCCTAGCACGCACACAGACCCAACCCAACAGACAGCTATCGAATTACAACACTGACCGTGTGCTGCGAAAGTCGTGCAGAGTTTACCAGTGTGCCCGTTGGAGTTCAAGATGAAGTCATCACGAGCGCCACATCGCGTCTCAGCCGTTCCAGTGCCCTACTGTGGCCAACTGCCCAGTGGCAGCTGTCCCTGTGCAGCACGATGATTAATGCAGCACTCGTCTGCAAGTGGGCCTTCGTCTTATCAAAATGGGCGGGATGTCGCTTTTTTTGTTTCATGGATTTTCCCCATTCGAGCGATTTGCGAGCAATTTACCCGCTGCACCGTGACGGCAGCGGGCAGCGGCCTCATCGCCCCACAGGATCATGAACTTTGACCGTGGAGCAGGTGGCACTCGGCATACAGTGGAACATCCTCCTCCTCCTCCTCTAAACGACGGTGATTGGTCCCACGAAACCGGTCGTGATTAGAATACCTGTCAACCCCTTATCAGTGTCCTACCTTATTACAGACCAATTCAGGCCTTATTGGTCTCACCCCGTGCCCCTTATGAAATCTCAACGTTCGTTCTACAAAGTCCCATCACAAGGGAGAAACACAGACAAATAGATACAACACATTTTGCTCAATTTCCCTGTACAAGAATACGGATAAACCGTATGGGTTGACAGGTCCCATCACAAGGGAGAAATGGAAACAAATAGACACTTTTTTTGCCCGTATTGAAACGGCTGTACATCGTATGGAACTGAAAACTAAATTTCTCTGTACAACAATACGGAGTAAATCGTTTGGGTTGACAGATGTGGATTTGGTCGTTAAGCGGGAATAGGAAATAGTGGATAAAGTGTTTCGTTCGTTCCGATAGTATCGAAAGTTACCTATTTTCACCCCAAAACACGTACTTCATAATATTAACCAATGGATATTAGCACGAAAAGATACTGACAACATTATAAACAAATACTATTAAAAGAAGCGTGGTTAATCAAAGCATTCATTAAAATTTACTGTACCTACAACAGCCTGTCGTCAACAGGGAAATGGTCGGTAAGCGAACACATTGGACTCTATGGAGGCACTACACTTTACACTACTATACACTACACATTGGACTCTATGGAGACCCATCGTTAAGTGATTAGTCGTTAACAGGGGTGGTCGTTAAGAGGGGTTCTACTCTACACTACACTATACACTACTGTACACTACACTAATATACACTACCATACACTACACTATACACTACACTATACACTACACTACTATACACTACACTATACACTACCGTACACTACACTACTATACACTACACTATACACTACCGTACACTACTATACACTACACTATACACTACTGTACACTACACTATACACTACCATACACTACACTACGAAACAGTATACACGACACTATACACTATACTACTATACACTACACTATACACTACACTATACACTACATTATACATTACACTATACACTACGCATTGGGCTCTACGGATTGCTCGCTAACAGGGGGTGCTCGTTAGGAGGATTCCACTGCGTGGCTGGTGGTGGTGGTGGTGGTGGCGGTGGTGGTGGCGGTGGTGGTGGTGGTGGTTGCGGTGGCGGTGGTGGTGGTGGTGATGGTGGTGGTGGCGGTGGTGGTTGCGGTGGTGGTGGTGGTGGTGATGGTGGTGGTGGTGGTGGTGGCGGTGGTGGTGGTGATGGTGGTGGCAGTGGTGGTGGTGATGGTGGTGGTGGTGGCGGTGGCGGTGGTGATGGCGGTGGTGGTG